GACTGCTGGTCAGTTTGAATGTTAAAGGTTTTCAAACCGAGAAATGCATACTGCGTAATGTATTGATCCTGGTGACGATACGGGAAGAACACAAGTTTTAGATGAGCTTCCTCCCCAACTAACATGCCTTGGATATTGGTAAGCCTCTAGCGGGGGATTCTTGTTCTCTCTATAGTGAAATAAACGCAGCAGCTAAAGCAACACGCAATGACCGTACGATATTACTTTTCGTCCTGGAAAATTGGAGCAAGCGGTCGCTGGTGAGAACAGGAGACACTTAGTAACTAGATCTGTGTTTTTCAGGTTTTGCCGTGCATCAAACATATTCCTTTTAAAATTGATTGGGATACTAAAATAATTTAAATGGACGTGCAATTCTGCCTAAAAATGGATGCTTTTTTTCCCTTTAGGTTCAACAGTGCCTTTAGCCCCTATCACTCCAGGTATGACTGTTTGGATTCCGTCTCTTACCCCATTCACACTAGGAAAAAATACTTAGTTTAACCGGGTTTAACTGACGGAAAATCAGATTCAGAACAGAAAAAGTGAATTTTTCCATAAGATTCAAGTAATCGCTTACTCGTATTTTCAATGTGCTACATTTGAAGTCGACAGCTTTTATAGGGAAAAACAATTTAAATCGTGTTGAAAAACAGCCCTAAAACATGTGAAAGCTTTGGTGTGAATGCTGTATATGTCATTAGCTGGATCGTAAATACGTATGAAATACTATATGCCATTTCGCCTTTTGAAAATTATAATGGTTAAGATTAAAAAAACAAAAGGGGCCCTGAACCCTCAGGGTGATTGGCTCCTAATTTTTCCTAACAGAATATTAATCATCCTTGAATCAAAAATTAAGATCGCGAGAAAAAGGAAATGATCACCAATTTAGGAAGCTCCTGATTGTCAAACAGATTATTCTTGCAGAGGAAATGAGAAGAGAACAGTGTGCAGAATATGAATACCAATGTGAGAGTGTAAAGGGTTAAAACCCACTCATATCGAGCATTTGTTATTGATACAATTGATTAATGAAATTTCTTTGATTGGATTTTAAACTGAAACTTAAATTTTTTTAGCTTTGGCCCAAGAGGTTAGCTATGAAATGAACAAGGATCCTCGAGGATTGTGCGTCATCGTGAATAACGTCAACTTCCAGAACAGGGACCTGAACCGACCAGGAGCCGTCGAAGACGAACGTAGCCTCCAACTTCTGTTCAGGACGCTCTTCTTTGAAGTAATTATCCGGAGAGATTTGACGAGCCACGAGTTGGAGAAAGTGGCACAGAAGTTTGGAGCTGCAAATCACAAAGCGTATAACGCGTTTGTGTTCATCGTCATGTCGCATGGAGGAGATCGCGATTGCATCTTGGGCGTCGACGGAAGGGAGACTACCGTCAAGAATTTGATGTGCGAGTTCCGTGAGAACAAGTGTCCTTCACTTAAGCATAAACCCAAAGCGTTCATCATCCAAACTTGCAGAGGATGTCGAGACAACGCTGATAATTCAATTTCCTCACCTGTTAATGATATCAATTTACAGCAGAAGGTCGTGACCACGTCACAGGGACAGATAAGCTCCCAGCCATGTGATACTGCATTCGTTACTGACTGCACCCTCCCGCGGAGCGTGTTTCCACCGGAAGCCGACTTTGTCCTGGCCTTTGCCACCGCGCCGGGTTACGTATCATATCGAGATCCGGATAATGGCACCTGGTTTATACAGGTAAGAAATCGCAAAAACCAAAGCAACATGCTTTGTTCGATTCATGTGCTAACAGCGTAAATTGACAATACTTAATTACCCTGTTATACTTTCACCGACG